TTCGTGAAGCATCTCAGTGGCTCATTAGCGGATGCCAAATTATCATTGAGCCCATGTCATGCATCACGCTCTTTCATGCTCATAAACTCCAGAGAACCTCTGGGCGGGTATAAAAATGACCGAGGCCGCCTTTGTAAGAGAAAAGGGCGGCGCCGCCCGGCAATAAATAAAGGGTTGTTACCCGGAGTTGCGGCCCCAACCACTTGTCGCCTCACGATATCTCTACGCAGGGAAAATTATGAATCAAACCCCGAGGAAAGCCAAGGTTCTGATTAAGGTGTCACTGAAACAGGATGTTCCATCACTGGATACAAAATTATGGTTATTGGCGGATCGGCCAAGGAGAAATTCACCTCGGGACAGAACAGTATCCTGGGCTATTTGTACTTACTTCCTCTTAATTCATTTCTTCCTGCGTAAATAACAGAATTCCAAATTCAATTTCGTGCACGACGCAAGAGAAATAATATTTCCTCCTTTCTTCTTTTTTTCAACTATCACACATAAAATGAATTATGGCTTCATTCGTTTGGCTCAATTCATCATTTCTCTTTGCAAGTGCCCAATATTGTAATTGTTAAAATTATTTTACTTTTTACTATTTAAATTTTGAAATATAGTACACTTTCAACTTTCCCTGAAGAAAATATTCCAAAAATCGTTCTTACTTCAGATATGAAATTCTGAGTGATATCCAATAAACACCTTCTTCTGCTGAGGATTAAAGTGAGGTCAGGTCATTCTTGATGTGAGCGATGGCAATTTTACATTTGTGTGCGTGTGTGTATGTGTATGTGGGTGGGTGGGTGTTGGTTATTTACAACTGTACAATGTGGCACAACATGTGAATTTGCTTTCCCCCTAAACAACGGGAAAAATTTCAATATGAAAGTTTTCAAAAATAAGAATTTCCTTGGTATATTACATATTTACTTAATCCTGAAGGTCTCACGACCACTGGAGGTCATTAATTTGGAGACTTTTGCAATGAGAGTGTTGGCATGTTTTGGAGGGTTTTTGTACAATTTTGAATATTTTGATTTTTTTTCACGAGGGTTCGCAACAGCAGAGGTCATATAAACCCTAAGGATGCAAGTGTTTTTGAAAAAAAAGCCCATTTGTAAGTGCGTCGGCTTCGAATGCAGGGCCGCTACATTATATATATATGACCCTAAATATTTCTGAATATTCTGATTAAATTGCGGTTGAAATAGGATATCCTCAGGGTAATGAGATGTTGGGAAAGTCGTCAGAAAAGAACTTTAACATTTTTTAAATTAAAAACTTTGAAACTATACATTTGTAAGTTCACATGGATTTAAAGAAGGTGTTACGTATTAATTTTTATTGTAATTCGGACATTGCGATCATTTCTTCTTATTCTAACCTATAGTTTTCTGTGAGGTGAGCGTTGTAGTTTTTAATTTTCCGTCATTGACCTAAACGTCCATATATGCTGTGTATCTATGTCTTCTATTTTCATTTTTACAAATATGATTACTTACGGAAATCAGAATACGCGACTCACCTCACAGAAAACCACCACGAACCCTTAATAATAGAGACAAGTATGAAACTATTACACGACGCACAAAAAAGAACACTTAGAAACAAACGAATATCATTCAAAAATAAAAAAATTTCTTAAAGACACAGAATATCAACAGTTGACGATCAACAATTACAGCAGACCAAGATAACCGAACAGAACGTCGACTCTACCACATTGTCGACCAAGGACGAGAGACATAACTGTCCAAAAATCACACACACGTAACACGGAAGATCCCAGACACGTCAGGCACAGCGAGGATAAGCAGACCAAAATGATCGGTAATGACTACTGACAACATTATAGGTTCTTCATTCCGCAGACCGAACTGAGAAATCTCACAATTTTGTTGTGTCAAAATTATTAAATGGCAAGTGGGTAGTTCAAAGAAGTGTATAAAAGAATGCAGACGGTAGAATGTTATGTTATCTTTTGGTGACGTTAATGTTTATACTTCACTACTTCACAAGGAGCAAGCTGATTGGACATAAGGAAGAATTCATTAAATTCACTAGTTTCGTGGTCCGCTTGACCAATTAAATCATTACAATTAATTAAGGTTTTTAGTCGAGATGAAAAAAAGTTAATGGCATGAGAGGGATTCGAACCCACGACCTTCGGCTAGATACGCCGCTGCTCTACCACCTGAGCTATCGTGTGCTCGATCTACTCGGATTTGGGGAGTTGATGTCCGAGTAGATCGAGGTCACGATAGCTCAGGTGGTAGAACAGCGACGTATCTAGCCGAAGGTCGTGGGTTCGAATCCCTCTCGTGCCATTAACTTTTTTCATCTCAACAAAAAACCTTAATTAATTGTAATAAGGAAGAATGTTGGTTGAACTTTTTTTAGGTTTGATATTAGAACTATTGTTGAAATTGGCAACTTGGTAGAAAAGTAAAAAGGCAAAAAGGTAGAAACCTAGTTTTTATAACTGAATAAAGCATATGAACAATTTATAATGATATAAGATTATTATAGGAATGAAGCTGCATGGACAATAGAAGAAAATTGGCGCACAAATGTTTTCTGTTTTACAGTCAAATTGTTGAAATTTGCCTAAGGGTGATAAAGGGAGTAGGTCTAACGACTGCATACAAAAGATATTGTAAATTGTAGAAGGTCTACAACCTAAAAATCACCTAAAAATATGATAAGTTCTAGGTGCCATCGATCATGATTCACAATGATCAAGATTCAAAATAAACCAAGATGCCTTAAATGGGATTGTAATGTTTAGAAATCGCAGTATAAAAAATGTTATAATGGTTTGGAATACGGAAGTGCATACTGAAGGAAGTGTATACTGTATAATATATAGGACCCAGCAAACTAATTTGAAGAACTCCAAGAGTATTAGGTTAGGTATGCAGGTATGTCGAGTTTTTGTTGTTATTATTAATCTACAACTTCATCAATTTATGTAATAAGCAGAAAATAGTACAAAAAATAATAGTTGTTTGTTCGTCGTGAATGTAATCCACCCATTAATGACCAGCTCTAGATAGCATCTAAGACTGTATCAGGTGAACCCAATGGATGGCTTAGTGTACGCAGATTGCCATATATCACGCGGCCAGCAACGCCTCCAATTCCTAGAGGGATAAAGGAAGAACGGTCACAGATGAGGGAGTTGAATGACAATTAAGAATGGAATTTGAAATATTGAGATTTAACTAGGTCAATACAATTAGGAATTCTGAAAGATGAGTGGAGAGAATCGTTGGACAAAGAAAAGCATCGGTGCTCGTGCGGAGGTTTTTTGACTGGAGGAATTTGATCCTATTGGGGGTTGATTTTCAAGCCGTTTCCTACGGTTCCAGCCCGTAAGTTCAGGTTGGACATAGAATAGCTATGAATTTTTTTGGAATAGTAAATCTTGGACTGTGCCTATCTAAGTTTTCTTGTACCTGTATTCAGTTCTGCCATTTTATGTTACATATGTTGATTCTACGTCAACCTTTTGTTAATACAGTGCCATATATTTAATTGGACCGTGATTTGCCTTGCGGATTGTAATTTGATTCAGATATATAGGAAGGAGTAATTTTCGTCTGAGGGTAAAGGACATGTATTGGGTTTTCATTAATTTTTATTATATTTTAAGAAACCATGGTTCTAAAGTATGATTGAATCTCAAGGACAGGAATGGATTGCGGTATGGTCTGTAAAGGTAAAGTCGAGTGTGTTAGGATGTTGAGGTTAGCCTAGGCAGAAAAGTTATGGAACAAGGATGGTCCCGTTAGGAACACCTGGAAGAATAGATCAGAGAGAATGAGGTTCGGAGATTGCATAGAAAAAACTATCATATAGGTAGGATTAAGGATGAGATAGTTTATTTTAAAAAAGTAGAAAGGAGTTCCAGCAGACCATGGTGCCACATGCAATACAACGCCTGATAGATCCAGGTTTGGACTGCTTACGATAAAATATGATGAATTATCAAAATTACGAAAAGCCAAATAGGTGTTCAGAAACAATATTAGCTTTGGATACGATTTCTTATACGGCCTCAAGTAAGTTTTACCAAGGATGACGTTATTAATGACTCTATTGTTTTGATTGATAAGTACAAAAGCAAGAAGAAGAAGGCGGTGAGAGTATTTTTTTTACTTTCCACATCAAACAGTGGTGTCATACTCAGTGAAACGACTGTTCCTGGACAATACTGTGAATAACTTGTACGGGATGAAATGACATATGCAACTTGTAGAGATATTGGGAAGTAAAGAAAATCGGAAACTGATAGTTAATGAGGAATAATGTATTTTGATTCAAAATGATTTAGTTGTTCGTTTAGTAAGTCTTTTAATAAATGCGGCTGTCATAGGAAGCAACCTAACTGAACGGTAGGAAGAAAATTTCAGTTGGAGTGGAAAATGGGCCTGCATCAATAATTCCTGCCTTTCATGGGACGAGCGGTTGTTGATTTTTTAAAAATTTCTTTTCTGAGAATTTCCAGACGGTTGGAAAATTAGGGTGCGCAAAATGATCGGATAGAAAACTGTTCAACGCATAGTAGGATGATTGCTACTGATCATTTCAGATCAACAGGGCTTTCCCAAGTGTTTTATTTTTTTACCCGAGCAAGACTGGCATAATTAATTTAATACTGAATGCAATTACTCGCCGTTTGCGAAAGAATAATGATTTTCTTGTAATGCTTGGTATCGAACATTTTTTTTTTACCACAATATGTTGATCTTTTATTAAAACAAAAAATCTCGGCCTTTAATTAGAATAATAGAATAAATTTTCAAGGTGCCGGTTAGAAACGTCATACTTGACATAGCCTGAACTCGACCGTCAAGCCATTGCACTCTTGATAATAACCGATGTTACAATAATAATAACACGTGGCGGTTTTAAAATGCAGTTTAATTGCGATTTCCGTTGTAAAACTCTTGCTGAATAACTAAACTAAACCTTTAGTTTAAAAAACAACTCACCCTATATCGCCACTTCCATAAGCCGCTGGCCTTTGCTGGAAATTGTTCATTGCGTACATATCTCTGCAAAGCAAAAAAAAAAAAACAATGAAATTAATGAAAGGCACTAAGCATTAAGGATTAATCCTTATTTTCACTAAATGACAATCAATCAACTCAAATTCTGTTGCAAATAAGATATAAATCTTAACTATTTACTAGATTTTCCCATGTTCAAAATCGTGCTTCTATTGCAATGTTTCAGATTGCACAAATTTAAACTATAAGCAATTTAAGATAATCATGAATAGATTATGAATATTTAGGACAACGATTAATAAATTTTTAATCGGTTTAATATACAAATTATATAGGTTAACTGGTATAATCCAGTTTTCAACGGATTTACTGAACTAATCATTGCCTAGCCTAAGTGCCCAACTAGTGATTATCTCTATAACGTTAATGCTTTGAAAATTATTTTGTCCGGCGTAAACCGATATTTACCAACAAATTTATTTTGCTTCGTGATTCAATACTGCAAACTGTGTGTTTGTGCTCTGGGTCAAAATACGAATTATTATTACCATTGTTTATCAAAATTGTTGATCCTGTTGGAGAAATTTAAATCACAGTCAATTTATTTAGTAATTATAATAATATAATTAAATCCTTCATATTCCTCTATTAGTTAAAGGTAATTAGGACAAAAATGCTTCATTTACTCCCTTTATTTATTTTTTAGTCCCTATTTGCACAAAATGTAGCCTTATGCCCTTCCATTTTGCTACGCGTAAAGATCGCTTTCAGTTAATCTTTTCCTTCGTTTATTTCATTTGATATTATTCTTATTCTTATTGAATGGCTTATAATGCAAGCTTATACTATGATGGTAAGACCCATTCTTACCATCATACGGAGCCATAGCCTGGGCTGATAAAGCAGAACAAATAACAAATTATGATGATACATTTAATCAAAACTTCCAAATAAAGTTACAAAATCGAATAGGAAAGAGGTAGGAGTATTCAGTCCTGGAACCAATTTTTTTTTTTCCAATGGATACCAGGGACTGGAGGAGTTCCCTCCTGAGTACTGTAGCTGAGCTGTACAGCTTATTGTACTTTATCCCCGGCTCCATATTTTGGGGGAGGGCTCGCAACACAAATGTGAACTTGAGCCCCCGTTGTACCGGTGTTCTTCCATCGAAGAAACTCATTTTTGAAGGGGGTTGGGACCAAATTCAGGGTCGCTGAGACCCGATCCCGCCCCTTCCATTGATGAGTGCCGTGTCAATTTCTTTCAATTGCGGCCACCGGTCCCCTTAGGCGTCAGAAAAAGTCCAGAGGCGACGGTGGGGATCGAACCCACGACCGCGGGATCTAATAGCCGAGAGTCTGACGCCTTAACCACTCGGCTACCGCGGCCCCTCCCTGGAACCAATACTGGGAACCCATGGGAAAATACAGACAGCAATATCTTCCAAGCTGAGGTCTGCGCAATCGAGACATGTACTCAATTCCAGTGAATAAAGGGTTCAAATCAAGAACATAGCTATCATGTCAGATAAGCAGCCATCAAATCACTAAGCTCAAACATCATTAGTTCAAAGATGTTGTTGAACTGATCAACCAAACTAAACAGATTAAGTACGCAGAACAAGTCAGCCTTAGCTGGGTCCCAGGACATGTGGGAGTAGAAGGCAACGAGAAAGGGGACACCCTTGCAAGAAAAGGGGCTGCTATTCAGTTGATAGAACCCGAACTTTATGTGGCAGAGGTACCCACACTATCAACGAATCAGACAAAAAGATGAACTTTCTTGCAGGAGGAAGTGCTTTGGGACGCATCATGTAACTGTTGACGTAATTCAACCACTGAAACCGGGCCTACTAATCAAATTCCTGGATGAACTCGGACACACTGGTGTGCTATAGGCACAGAACGGGTGATACAACAGCTCTTAAAGGGCGCAGTACACATACGCCGACTAATACATCTTCATCCACATACAAGCTATTTCTAAAAAATTTTATAGAGTTTCAAAATGTTTAAAAAGTTGTGTCTTCACCTGTTGGTTTGTTTACACAAATGTTTTTTGGTATATCTGAAAGTAATAGACTGGGCAAAAATAATTGGTTGAAGATGAATGATGTCAGCGGTATGCAGCGTGAATTTTGGATTTGTCCTAAACGCCTGATCATTTGGCTATCCAAAGGTATTGAGACAGAAGGAGGTTTACTTGAAAACAAGGACTGAACCAATAACGAAGGATTATTACGAAGTATATGAAGGATTAATAAGTAGGAGTACGATGATGAGTAGTGACGAATGATTGTTAAAATTAAAAATGACGTCATTGTGTTTAATTGAAAGTTACCAAGTTTCTTTGACAGTATAAATTGAAAATTGGTTTAATTTTGAATTGTAGAATAGCACAATTACCATAAGCCGATGATGTAAAGGGAAATTGGCATGAAACAGCATGCACTCTGACCGCTGATAGATTTTTTTTCTCGAGAAGGCGCCTTCGATTTGGTCGTTGTACACGTGCCAATTCAAAAGAACTCCAGGAAACTTCGAGGTAAACACCTCTGGAGTCCTAGGCGCCACACTCCCTCACATCTGTGTATAGTAGTGGCCAGAAATATCGCGGGACAATCCTGGGTGGTCTGCACTCTACGACAAGTCTATTTCAGACAACTTTTCACATACTGTTGGTTAACTTGGTTTTTCAAAACGTGCAATGATATTTTTCAAATTTCAAACGGAATGAAAATCATACTGATGTTTGATAGACTGTACACCTACTTAATAACATTTCGTGAAATCATAATGTTTTCCAATAATGTACAAAACGTTTGATTTTATAGTTGTTTATTCTAGCATAACGGGAAGCCAACACATTTATACTTTTTTTGAATCTAAACATATTGCATATTCTGCCAGGCCGAGTTGTTTTACAAGATCGTAAAAATTTATCCCGGGCTGGGCTCGTGCCAAATTTCGACAATCTAGTTTATGGCGCTGTGGAATCCCGAAAATGCACTCGACCAGATTATGTTGGGGCATGCGGCTGGGCGTTCTACGTCCAGGAACCCACGGAGGGTAATTATTAATTTAATTGGGTTATGTTTAAAAAATTAAAAGCATCTGACAATAAGGTACGGATAAACATTGTGAGTTAAAAACTGTTTTCCTTCCACAGTCAATATGTATATAAAAATATAGGCAATGTAAAAATATAATAAAATAAAAAATGGAGATATTTTGTTTAAACTCAAATAATTATTTACAAAACTATGTATCGTGTCTAGTTTTTGTGCCAAAAATCGTCCAATAATATTTTACTTATATAACAATTTTTTAAAGAATAATAGGGCTGTTCATGTTCTACCGTTTTTACTTGCGGGTACTTGTTTTTTCTACAGCATAAGTTAATTTTAAACATATGCATAATTTTAAATACGAACATAAGCAGAAAAGAGAGAGAAAGAGAGAGAGAAAGAATAAAACAGAAAGAAAGAAGAAAGAGAGAGAATGAGTGAGTAAGAGCGAGAAGGGAAAGAGACTGATAAAAGGACGACGGGGTGAAATAGAGGGGACTAGAGAGAGGGGGAGGGAGAGAATGTGAGAGTAAGTGAGAACTAGAAGGGAAAGAGAGTGGGAAAAGGATGACGATGAATGAGAGGGAAGAGAGAGGGAGGGGGAGAAAGAGAGGGAGAGGGAGAGGGAGAGGGAGAGAGAGAGTGAGTGAGAGAGAGAGAGANAGAGAGTGCTCATACATATGCGGATTTGAGCACATATAAATCAACTATCAGATATTCTTATAGATCAAGTGAAGTAGTAAATTATGTTAGTTTTGTAAGTTTCTTATATTCAGTAATAACTGTGATGATTTTGCTATAGTATGAATTACGTTTAACCTTACACATTAAATTTTGACCTTTTGTCTCTATTTGGAATTGCATTTTGCTGTTGTTTAAACTACCACCAAAATGACAACGTATTGTTCGTAGAATATCAATATTCTTACTAAATTTGAAAGGAGAGGATCTGCTACTACAATATATACCAATGATGTCAACAGAAGCGCCTTTCCAATTCAAATGATCAATTTCCAATCACACTGCATTTTGGAACAATGGACAACATGGAACATGGACATGTGGAACAAATCACAGGGTCAATCATTGTTATTATGTAGATTGAATTTGGAGAATCCATAGTTTTTTCATAGACAATTATACGTTGCATGCATCAAGATGGGGATTTGTTGTTTGTATATATGCCAAATGCAATCACCAAAAATATTTTATATCCAAGAGCATTGCAATGGATTTAACGCTGAATACAATATTATTACAATTTAGTACAATGTAATCCTAAACAAAAATAATATCGCATATATAGGTGACTAATACCATGACTTACTATCATTGATATCAAACATTCAGTTGTGTTCATTTAATTTATATACATACATATTTCTTCTATTCTCCTACCTAGCAATAGCAATATGTATACACAAAATAATGTGTTAAATAACACCTTTTATTATCCACCTGGGTATCGCCGGGGTATAAAACTTAGTACTCGATAAAACTGCCAACTATTGTTCAACCTATCTATATGTTATAAAAAGTGGAGTAGGTAAAAAAAAGATAAAAAGATAGAAATCACGAGACATAGTGAGAAAGGAGTAGAAAAAAAGAGATAGATAGAAGATATATTAATAGATGAAGGGAAAAGAGAGAGAAAGAAGGAGGGAGAGAGGGAGGGAGGGAGAGAGAGAGAGAGAGAGAGAGAGAGAGAGAGAGAGAGAGAGAGAGAGAGAGAGTGAGTGAGAGTGAGAGAGAGATTAAAAATTAGCGAAATATATAAATTCAGTTTTTAAAAGAGAACGTGAAAGTCATATTTTTGAGGTTAGCAAATTTAAGGGTTTTTTACGAGGTTGTTTCATCGAAGAGATTATATGAACCCTCCGGGAGCCGGTGGAAGCCCATTTGTATGTCGGGCAGCCCTGCTTTCGATCCCCGGACCTTTAGCTTACTGCAATGTGGGCTGAGTCAAAGTCTAAACCGT